AATAATTTTGGAGGATACTTTAAATAAAGTCTCCGAGACATTTTATAAAAATGGCTCCATAGTTTTTTATTCAATTTTGATATTGGTAAGTGTGAAGGACGTAAAAGAGAATAGTGCAGTCTCATTTTTCGTTAAAAACACTGATTTTTCGAAAATTGAAAAAATTTAATTTTTTTTGTCATCTACCTACAACTATAATTATGAAGACAGATATTTTCCCTTAATGAAACTGTTCCTTATAGAATAAATTAAAATAAGGTCCTCAACAATATTTTGAAAACTTGAGTACTTTCGCGTAATTTTGAGTGAAATGTAGACAATTTTTTATTTTGTTTAAACATTTTCTCCCCAAACCGGCTCCATCTTTTTTTTTAGTAAATTTTGTTGATGGGTAGTGTAAAGGACCAGAGAATGGTGCGGGTCTCGTGTTCGTTAAAAACCCTAATTTTTAGAAAATTCAAAAAAATCAATATTTTATCTTCCTACAATTATGAATATTTTTTGTATTTACAGAAATGCGTCCATGCAAAACATCTAAATATTATTGGATGTTCAATTTTTCGAAAGTGTGAATATTTTGGGCAAAATTTTGTCAAATATAAGCAACTTTTATTTTCCTTAAACCATTTTGTTCTTACAGACGGGACAATTTTTTTTGATTAAATTTGGACCTTATATAGAGTAAAGCATGCTTAAGAGAATGATCTAACGCCATGATCGTTAAAATAACTGATTTTTCGAAAATTTAAAAATTGTTCGACGTCTTCTTGTACGTACAATTACGATCAAATTTGGAGCTGTTATTGAGAAAATTTTGAAAATGTCCGGGGAGTTTTATGTAAAGTACTCACAAATTTTAAAGATTTTTTTTTCAAAATCTCAAATCTTCGACTCGAACCAGATGGACATGGGTTTCTTCAATTTGGAAAAAATCGTTTAATGGTTTAGGCGCTAGTGGTGTTCACGGACGGACGGACAGACGGATGTTTTGAAAAAAGAAAACCTTCCTCGAAATCAGTGGACTCCTAAACGTGTACATTCGTTGAAATCTCGAAATTGATTTTCCGCAGCATTACATATTTTTTCCTTATACTAGAATAATACTCAGTATTCGGGAAAGTAAAAAAAAATGGAGCCGTTTTTTAGAAAATAATTGTTTTTGATGAACAAATTGTATTAAGGAAAACAATTCTATCTTCATTATTGTAGATGTAGGAACACGAAAAGAAAAAAAGAAAATTCAGAGTTCAAAGAAAACTTCCTAAAGCTGAAGAAATAGCGCCCTGAGCTTTAAGCATCTTTAGCACTACCCGACGAGGGATAAATAGTCATATTTTAGAAAATTTTGAAAAATGTTTCATGTGAAGTAATTAAAATCTGTTTCAAATCCACGGCGCTGCGATATCACAGATTGAAGGGGAAATTTGAATTTTGCTGAATATAACGCTTATTTGCCGTTAGCGGTGTTCACTAAAGGACGGTCGGACGTTAAGCCGTAAACCAAATTTTCTGCATCAAGACAAACATATCAATCCATACAAAACGTGATCGCGAGCGGTCCGTGGCGCACTTTTGTTAGAGTACTACACCGCCATTCCCCTGGTGTTGATCGAATAAACCACGGAAAACAACGGATCACTAGAATTCTCATTCAGACAGCGGCTGAATTCGACCAAACTAAGAAGCTCGTTTCAAAAATCAGGACTCGAACCCTAAGACCTTCGGGGCAGAGGTACTGCGGTGACATCAATTGGTGCACTGGGCCACCTAAACCGGTCACTTTCTCGTCGAAAAGAGATCTTCTCCATCAGGAAGAGGTAAAGAAATATCAAGTGAAGCAAAGCTTGGTGCAAGGGTGTGAAAAGCGTTGGGGAAGGAAGTACATGCAGAAACTATTCGAGTGATACTGCAAAGTCCGAATTTCATGGTCGCGCGGCTAGAAGAAATTCTTTCATAAAGAACAAAAAAGCTGGAGTACATGGTGAGTCTTGTACCCGAGGGCATTGACTGGTGGAATCGAGCGTTTCAATGTGTTCGAACCTGACGGAAGAACACGAGTGGAGAAGGCAAACACAGTTACATGAAAAGCATCTGCAGTCAATACTAAAACTTGGAGATGGGCAAAAATATGGTGAGGGGCAGTAAGACGGCGAGTGGCAGCTTGTCTTCATTAAAGATACAATGGGCAAATACAAATATTTAAATGCACTGAAGGGCAATTTTAAGAAAAATGCTGAGAAGTTGAGTATTGGGCAAGCTAATTGTGTACAAGGATAATGATTTGAAGCATATGACCCAATTGGTTCAACTGTCCTAAAATATTTCACCATCCCTGGACGTCAATCTTTGAAAATCTTTGTCAAAAATTGGACAATGAAATGAGAAAGGAGCCCATAGCCAACAAACAATAATTAAGTCTGACTGCACAAATAATTGAGTAAAATTTCAGCATTCATAAACTTGTAGACACCGAGCCAAAGAGGTTAAATGAAGTGTTAATATGAAAGGACTCCCCTCCAGTAATTGTTATATTTATTTTTTATTTTATTTATTTTTGTTAATTGGTTTATATTAAGCAAATGAATCTTTCTTTTCGCTGTCTGAAAGATTAAGATTTCCTTAAATTTATGGTAATTTCATAATTTTCAAAGTAAAAATTAAACATGCTTATTGCTTTAACATTTGAAATGTGCAGGTTTTATTTTTTGATACCACAATTGGGTTAATTTCATATTTTCTTCTGAATAAAAGAGAATACAGTAAAATCTTAAGTGTCTGAATACTTATTTTGACTGAGGTGTAAACAGGGTGTTAGTTTGAATATACAAGTGTACTCAAGAATGTAAAAATGTTTGCAGTTTAGTTTAGGTTAAATGTTTGTTGACATTATGCACCATTTATATACCCTAAAATTGTGGTAGTAATTAATGGACATCTAAAAATTTGGTTTAACTCTCTAACGATGATCATGCCTCAAGACAACCACTTTTAACTACCTCCCAAAATTGCATATTTACATTTAACATACTGACATACTTTAAGGGTTTATGATTTGAATGGGGTGATCTGAATTGAAAACATCTGGCCACCATTTAAATTTTAAAATATGATAAGCATTGTTCTTAATTGATAATTGTATGTTTTCGAGTACTTTCATATGGACATTGGAATTAGATTTTGGATTAATTTTCTTTTTATTATTGTTACTGTTGTTATTATTATTATTATTATTATTATTATTATTATTATTATTATTATTATTACTGGTAATGGTACTTTTACTATCAAAGAACCAAAATAAATTATTAATATTTTAATACATTCACAGACGTTTTCGTTTGAGGGTTCTTCTTAGGACCTCTTTTCCAGCTGGTCCTCACCTCTCTTTTATTGTTTGTGGTTTTTTATCCTTCCAGTTCTTCCCAAAATAACATGATAAACTGTATATAAGTGTGGGAGCAGAAGAGAAACCACCTGTACATATAAAAAACTTAAGTGATGTTTTCAATTTAGAAGATGATCACCCTGTTCAAATCATTAACCCTTAGACGGTTTGGGATCATTTGTGATCCCAGATGCAAATGTTTTTCAACTGCACACTCTGAAAATTATTCAAATGAATTTCACCTTTCAGATATGCTATTTGTGTTAAATTCAATATCCTATAAAACTTGCGGAGTCAAATCTGACCCCAAATAGAATCCACGTAAGTAATGGCGAAACAGAGTGGAAGGGTTACAGTAGAAATTTAATGAACACAAGTGGATTTTCTCCCACTGATCGAGTCAGATCAAAGTTACCTTCCTCTTAAACACATGTACAACATACAAACTTACCACAGTACTGATATTCACACAAAATTTAATATGCATCACAATTGATACCTTATGAAATAGCCACATAATTAATGCTGTTTTCCATACTATTTGAAAAATTTAGCATGACAAAACTCTTAAATCATTAGCAAAAAATCCCATGATTAGTAGTACTTAAGCAATCATCATTGCTAGAATTACTTAAGTGACAACCACTTCCATTTCATGTTATATTTAGTTCTCCGAAGTATTAGAGTTTATCAGCAAATCTTTCTTACTTCAACAGTTCTAGAACTAAATACCACAAAACTTGGCACCTTGATAATCTACACACAACAGCATCATATCTTACTCATGAAATCAGAGCAAAAATTAATGCAAGTGCTGGGTCACATACATGAATTTTTAAACATCATGTCTTGAAGAAATGGGATATAAGTACCTTTCCGAACAATTTCTAATTAACAAAGTTAGTGAAAAGTCACAACCTCAATTTTTGGTGAATATTGTTGTGAATTTCAGCCTCTATCTGTGGAATATTTAGAAGCATCAACTAAGTTTTATCAAACTGTCTTCCTTCTTTTCACTTTTCTAATTTTCACTTCACATGACAATGATGAACTCATTATGAAGCATTTTATCATTCAAGCTTTAAACAATGCAGTAGACATCACATCGATGCTGAGTAAATACTTCATGACAGGAGAATACGGGTGATTTAAATCAAAACAAATAAAATCATATCATTTGTGGAACATCTAAGCACATTGCAACCATGGGCAAGGTTGACTAAGGGTCAAACACAAGAAGTAAGGAAGACTGGACATTATTTGAAGATTCCCATGTAATTGTCACCCTCCCTGAACAAACTAGCCTCATTCTTTCGAGTAGCTTTCATATCAAACACCTGGAATGCAATTGTGAAATCTGAAACAGTATTTAGTTTCAAAACCAAGACTTAAAAATTCCTCTTAGCTTCACTTCAACATCACTATCACTGGAAACATGATCAGTTACTGTAAAGGTCACCAGATTACTTGTTAAAAATGTGTTATATTTATTATAAATATCCTTAATATCTACTAATAAAAATACACTTGTACACTACATCGCCACTGTTTATGCCTGTTAAGAAGTTTTCTAAACATCTATTGAAACTAAGAAAATACTTAAAATCTATCTCACCTTGTTGACAGGGAGGTGGAGCAGGAGATGACATTGAAGAACCGAGAGTGTTTGTCACATTAGGTTTAATGTCCACACTTGCAGAGGGCGTACTAAGAGATGTAGACAACACCTGAGTTAGATCTTCATCATCATCCTCGGGGTCTAAGGGATTTGTTCTTAAAAAATGCAGGAACTGTGCTGAAGGAGGTCGCTTACGCCAGGAAAAATAATCCATCATATTTCCACCATGTTGTAAAAAGAATAATTCAGCAGTGAATTCCGCAAACTGTTCACGAACTGCACTCAAATGCAAGGTCTTATGATCTTGGATCCTCTTCCTAGTCGCTGCAACTTCTTCACTTGGTGGTGTTCTTTCCTGCATTTCTGTCAGTCGTATCCTCTTTCGAGAACCTGAGAGATGAGAAACAGTGGATTGGCTCACAGCAGGATGAGATAAAGTTCCATGAGGGTTCGATGGTGATCTCACTGTGGGAGGTGAGGCTAATACTAATGTAGGAGAAGATTGCATGATCCCTAAAGAGTTTGTCGTCCTCTGCCTCGGAGGTGAAGAAAGTGTGCTAACCAAGGTAGGGTGAGATGCAGCATTAACCGTAGGTGGTTGACTAATGGCAACAAGTGACACCGCACCCCTCCCCGACACTTCTCCAGGAGCATTGTTACTGGTATTGTTAGCAAGTTGTACACTTCCTGTCCGACCAGGCACTTGTGAAACACCCACTACATTCACTCGGGGAGACTGAGAGATGTTCAAGATTCGAGTAACCCCCTGCTGGATTCCTGCATTGCTGCCAGCAATAGTTGGTAAAACCTACAACAGAAAGTTTACTTAAGTGTATTTATAAAACAAAAATTTTATATCAACAATACAATTTATAAGCTTTGTTATCATCCAGATCTTTCTGATTGTTCTCACATTTCCATTGATATATAAATAGTTATCAGGAAAAAATGTTTTAGAAATTATATTATAAACTAGAAAAAAGACAGAATTTCTATTTATACTATATTAAAAGATGTATTAACTTATGAAATAGCTAGAGGCAAGCAAAGGTTGAGATTTAAGGATGAAAATGAACTTCTACAGTATATAGAATGCAGATATGCATAGTGCAGGACTACAAGATTCAAAACCACTATGCATGCAAAGCAATAAAGCACATCCAAGATCGCAGGCATTAAATTTGGAAAACTTATATTAAAATTTGAAGGAAACATTATACTACAAAAACAAAAAAAAACAATAGGTTATATGTGATCACCCTTTTGTTTGTGTAATACGTGGAAGTGTTTTGAAACCGAAGTTTGACCATTTCATAATCACTAGGTAACAAAATGCATAGGTAATCTTCTGTGGTACTATAAAACACTTCAGAACACAATTTCACATAACTATCACAGAACTTACACCAGTTAATTCAAAATGATTGATGTATTCTTGAGCTAACTGCCTACTCATATTGACTTCACTCCTTTCTGATTAAAAAGCAGTGTTGCCATATGTGTACTGATTTAACTACTCTGATTTTGGCAATGTTGCTGTTTCTATGGGGACAAAAGCTCACCATTAAAATAATTGTGCATGCTTACCACATTCATTTGTTGACATTCAGTTTCAATGTATTCATAATTCAATCTAACAATTAAAATTTAGGTATGTCATGCCTATCAATTTTGCAGCACTGCAATCACTAGCGTTTAAGATATCCCATAGTAACAAATCGAACAAAAGGCAAATGCTTGCACAAACAAAACTTCAAATTTTATCAGTAAGTATGATTTATTTTGTATGTAATTTCTGAAACCAAGAAATTAATTAGCTTATTTTATGAGAAGAATAAGTATTTATTAACTTGTTTTAAAAGAATTTTCATTACTTTTATCAGGACAGAGCTCAACACAAAATTGGATATTAAAATTATACAATTAGTAATGGAAACAAGGATAGGAAACTAATATAGAAAAATAAATCTGGATATCACCGAATTTTCTGATTTTTTTTAATATGGGACAATAACCAATTTTTAAAACATTGCACATTTGGTCACCTTACTGCTTATATTGAATCTTCCAGACATGCCATTTCAACTTCATGACAGTTGCATAGAAAGGGAAAGTTGAGTAATGGAGGTTTATGAATATTTAACATTCATCTACAGTACTACCTAGCTTTACTTTATATTTTTAATATAATTGTACCAACATTAAGTTCTTTTTTTTTCCGAGGTATAGTCCTTTTTGACAAAAAGGCTCAAGACATGCAAATCTAATCAGTTTGACATTCAAGAATTTTTTCTTTAAGTGTCAAAATATGACACTAAATTAGCATTTCATGTACTTAAACTAGTGTAAATGTAGGGGACAAGAGTAGATCTTATAAACTCAACACTGCTGAACACACGCCACAAATTATTTATAGCATTCAGAGGCTAAAAAATAAGAATATAACTCAATTATAATTAATTTCAATAACACTAAGTAAAAACAAGTTTTTATATTTAACATGAACTTCATATTAAAATAATTGAAGTATTACAATGCATTAAGCTTAACATGCAAGAAATAAAATAAATGTGCAAGATTCTGAATTTTTAACTGATCATTCTTACTGTAAATGTTTCAGGCACAAATATTTTGGAAAAATTGGATTCAAGGCAAAAGATAATTAAGAACCAACACCAGATATTGGAACCCACAATCTTAATTGTATTTCAGTATTTGATTTGCAAATTATGGTTCATGAATTGCGTTACAATACCAAGTACAAGATTATTACAAGCAGTACTAGACTATTTCTCTTTGTATATTTATATAACAAGATACTTTTGCCATGCATATCAGCATAAATGTACACAACACACAAAATGAAAAAGTAATGTTATACAAAAACTTTTTAGAACAGTACAGATATTCCACAATCACCAGGCCTTCAAATATGCTTCCTATATCTTGCACACAAAAGTAGCTTATGCAACATCAGTCAAAATGGTCAATACAGCTAAAAAAAATCTTTATCCCTTGAACCTCAAAAGTTCACAACCAATTCTCTTTGTAGGTCCTCATACCAAAATTGACAACATTCAATTACTAGCATTCAAGTGCAACAATTCTCACTATCTTCAAAATTGAAGTACATACATATTTAAGATATGCCACAAAATATAACTTCTACACAGTTACAATTCCAAGATATTAACATTAATGAGTTGCTGTGCCTGAGAACAATCAGTTTCCATTAAAAAAATCCGGAGTGACATTTCACTCACTTGAGTTAGGCCAGGAACATTCACATGAGATGTTATCACAAATTGCTGCCCACGCGTTGTCAAGACGTTCACATTTTGCGGCGCAGAGGCCAACACTTGTTGTATCCTCACTGTCTGTCCGGATGCGACGTTCAAATTCTGCGGGGACGGATGAGGTCCCGTCCCAGCCTGATGATCACTCATCTTCTGAGAGCCTGTAAACTCGCACAAAAACTCAATGATAACTTGTACAGATAGTAAAAATAAAATATTCGGGAGGTACGTTCTGTAACAATGACTACAATTGCTGATAGAATACAAATTAACTTCACGAAGTGTCATTTTACAGACAAACAAATAAGTTACACATAACCTCGGGAGAAATTTTAGCTCACGAAAATGCCACAAAGAACTAATAAACTAGTAATTCCGCACTATAACTCCGCCAATAAAATCATTCGCGATCGGAAATAACTTCCGTCGCCATCAAACTACACAAAATAAAAATTCTTCATGAAACAAAGAAAATTCCACATTACTAACTTCCAACTCAACCGCCATATTGCCACTTTGGTTTCGGCCACCAAACTCACCATAATGTTATCACAAAATTCCGTTGTGAAAACTAAACATCCACACATTAAACACTCACATTACAATTCAATAACACACGAGTGTTTATTAATAATCAACCGTGCATCACACATTGCGAGTTACGAGCGTCTTTCGTGAGGATAACCGATACATTTTACTTCAAGACCAGCCAAGCTCTTTCCATCATGGCGGCGAACATGGAGAGCATCAAACGAAGAATTTTTGTACTTTACCCCCTCCCCGCTGTGAGAGAACGCGGTTACAGCAGCCATTTTGATGTGTGCAATTGCAACAACCTGACGGTGTACGTAAACATCTGCTTTAAAAGTACTGAACGTATCAGAATGTATTATCGAATATTAAATGTTTTTATTCTTAAATTTGTAACGTATCTTTGGCTAGAAACTAATTATCTATTAGTATAGTTCAGGTTGTTTGTAACATTAGGAATCATTCATAAACATTAGCAGTTGGGAATACTGCGAAATTTACGCGCTAAAATACATCCGTTCAAGTTGATTCCATTACAATGTTTTTACATCATTTTACACTTGAAATGAATGTAATGTTTGAATTTGAATGTTGTGGTAATTTCACTAGGCTTGTGATTTTAATGAATGAGGATAATTCCATCGTATACTACTGAAACAGTGTTAGGGTACAGGTACTTTTTGTCCAGAAAAGAGGGCTCTGATTCAGCATGGCAAGATTATGTAAAGAAATGAATTCTCTCTTCTCGGAATTTGTTTTGAAAAACCTACGTCTATGTGGTTTCCATACTGTCTTTGATTTTTTAGAAGAAAATCCAGAAAATTTGGTTCGCATTACCAAACTTTCTTATAAGGTTTGTTTGAGATGTATGGATAAAAAACAAACTAAAACATCCTGAATTTAAGTAAAATATACATTTTGAGATTTAACATGCCAGTTACTTTTAAATATTACAGTTTACTCGTTTTAGACATATTTACTAAATACTATACTACACCTTTGATTTAAATACAAATATGCTCTCAAAGTTTTAACTAAGGGGTTCAGAGTCTTCAGTGTTTATCGTCTGCCTGCAGCACTTTCCAGTTCAGAGAAATGCAGTTGTCACCACTATGAAAGTAATAGTAGTAGTAGCAATAATGTGAAGTTTTATTAATAATACTTGTACCTTTTAGCACATTTTTTCAATGTGCAAAAGTGCTTTGTGCTCATGAATTAAATTAATATGAAGGTGTCTCTTCACAATGGTATCAATCCCAAAAGTTAAACATTCATCAGACTCAAACATCAGTTCAAAATTCAATATATAATTGCTAATTTCAGCTATTTATAACGACTACAGTATAAACAACACAATATATTATGAAAGTTGCAATTCAGATGAATTCAAAGAAGAAGAATCTGATCAGTTTAACTATTTAATATTGTGCTGATAATGATGATCTGGAAAATTTACCAATATATCTATTATTCTTAGTATCAACATCTTCCTTAAAGGTATGAAGACACGTTCAGAATAATATTTTTGGGAGCTCTAAGTTGGATTTTCTAGATAATGTAAGTCACATAAAATGTGTTTATAAATATCTTTGAAAATATTTAGTCATTGTATTGTAAGACTGGTTTTCAAGATTTTGAAGTCTTTTGTGTCATCTCATTGGAGTCAAAGTCTGAGCATTGTTTTTATGCCTCTAGTAAATCTTAATCATTTTTAATTGAAATTGTGCTTACTATAGAGGGTACTAAAGATTATTCCTGCAATTAATTTAGTTTGATGAATGATTGTTAAGAATTCTTAGGACTATCTCTCTCAAATATTGCTATTATTATTGTTTGAATCAGTGAACATCCAGTTTCATAGAAAAAATCATCTTCTGCTGTTAGGTTTTTGCTAAACCCTATTAACACCACTTTCGTAGATTTTTATTGGCTATTAATTCTCATTTTGGCTTTAAAAAAAAAATTATTCCAAATTTGACTATGTGTTGATTTTATTTCCTGCTATTGTAAATTTGGTAAGGATATATAAAACAAATGTTAAAATTAATCATTTTTCAACGTTATTGAAAAAAAAAAAGGAAACAAAGTTGCTTATTTGTAGTAAGCAGAATTAATCAGGTATACAAGTGGAGAAACTTTCCACCAAGTCCCAAAAAAAATTGTTTTTTTTTGAAGATTAAAGTTCAAGTTGAAAATGGTATTAAAATTTGTTCTAGCTAAAGTAATTTTTTTGCTAGATTTGGAGATAATACCAGAGGTTTTCTGTAACACACACTTTCATATTTAATGTTTCATTAAAAGAAAACCAAAAAATTTCAGGTCCCAAAGATTAGTTTCTCTTGTTAAACCTTTTTCGATTATGCTGGGCCTTGGGTCAAATTTAAATAATAGAAAAATTTAGTACACCTAAACTTCAGAACTGCAATGATTTCACTAATCTGTAAAATGGAAACAATGTGACTTAGGGATGTAAATAACTCCAAAACATCAAAAATAGGCTTGTTTACTGAGAATCACATCTACTTTATTACAAATTTCCATTGCACACCGAAATCTAATTTCATTTATCCTTATGAATTTTATTGGGGGTAGGAGTTCACGTGTAGAGTTTCACTACCCACTTTTATTTTGACAGTCTCATCCCTCTTTGACTACCTGGATAGATGGAAAATTTGTTTTTAAGTCATTACTATTATTGAAAGATTTTTTATAACAGTGATGTACATAAAAATCCTAATGAAAATAAAATATTACTTTATTTCTTATAATTGATATAAAAATACTCTTGTGAAAATATATCCAAGCAGCAAGTGTTTTGGTGAAGTTTAAGTCAGGCCAAATTTAAGAATTTTTTTAAACTTTTACTTTAATCCAAATTCAGTTAGAAAGAAAATTTGATCTGCTGTAGAAAGTGCAGAGTTGCAGTGATCAGTTCTTTCTTATTTGATATTTTGGTTTGTTTGTGATTTTAGGATATTGTGCTTCTTCGGCATAACATTATTGCCAATTTTTCTGCTTTCCAAAGTAGTGGAAAAACAGCTTATAATGAAATTGTTACAAATTCTGCAATGGTTTCTACAGGAATTGAACGGTACAGTTCTTGCTCAACTTTTGTAATATTCATATTAAATTTCTATTTGTATCATCAGGTAGACTTCAAACTTTGAACGGTGCCATTTCAATTTTTGGAATCTTTTTTTACATGCCACATGTTTTGAAGATTTTCAAGTTTGCATATTATTATTAATGGCTGTTTTGTTAGATATATTTTTATTTTCTTTAAAGTTGTTGGGAGAAAAAAATAAAATATTTTATTTCATGTTATATTTTGAATTTCGATATTTAGTACTCGAGAGCATTTTAAAATTTTATATATATACATACATACATACATACATATATACATANNTATATATATATATATATATATATATATATTTTCTTTTTTTTAGCCTTGATGCACTTCTGGGAGGAGGTATTCTCACAGGCAATATTTATGAAGTATGTGGTTTGTCTGGTAGCTGCAAAACACAGCTATGCCTTACAATTGCAATGAATATTGCTCTCAGTTTGAAACAAAAAGTGTATTACATTGATGCCAAGTTGGATTTCTCCAGTCGCAGAATATTTTCTATGTTGGAAGAAAAACAAATAGAAGAGACAGTAAAAATATTGGATTTTCATTTCATTATAATTTTTAAAACTTACAAAAGCATTATTTACGATTTCAAAATGTTTTCTTTTTATTTCAGGATGTAACTGAAACATTGAAAAGAATAGAAGTTGTAAGGGTAAAAGATCTGTATCAGCTCTTCTCATTTCTTCATACTTTGCGAGAAAACCTAGCTCAGCGAGAGTTAGAAAGTTCTTTTGTAAGAGTTATCATCCTGGATTCTTTACCTGCAGTATTTTTTTCATTTCTCAATGACACAAACAATGAAGGTAATTTAATGTGCCACATAGGATAATTTAATCTTCATATTAGCATAACCTTCAAAAAGAGACAGCCATCCCAGATGGTTGAAATCACTGTCAGGTGTGCATTGGCAATCTTGGTTTGAGGAGTGGCTCATTCAAGTCCGCCTTAGGCGTGGTTGTTTACCTGTGTGTTGCGGCATAGTGAGCTCTCCCACCCATCATGCATAATTTTTTTTAACCATGTCCTTTGTATCCTGGTAAGCCTGGGTGGCATAGGAACTTCCTGGGAACACATTGCATGCAGACTGTAGTTCCTTGATGTGTGTGAGAGGCCCAATCATATATCTCCTGCTCACTCTTTACCCCATAAGCCCAATACTCTCACTCCCATTACCAGATACTGAAGCTAAGATGGCCCTAACTGATACTTTAGCAGCTCCTGCCAAAAAGAAAAATCAAAATGAGGCCTGAGGAAAAATCTCATACCAATACTAAGGCAAATGGAGATATAGAGGATGGGGGATGGGCAACTGTTTTAGAAAGCTGCAACATGGCAGACTGCCAAAGTGTCAGGAAGGGCAGGTCACCCCCTAAGGACTGAAAGACTAAATGGTGACCTGATCCAAAGATGTCTACATACTTACTTTCATACGGAGTCCTTCAGGAAAAGATAAATAGCAATGATTCCATTCCAATGTGAACAATTTTTGGGCTAATTTTTTTTTCGGACCTAAGTAATATAATTGGCAAATATTGCCATTGTGAAAGTCATTAAAAATATTTCTTTAAAAAATGTATATAATTGTTTTGTTTTTTAAATAATGGAAAAAAATATTAATTGCAATTGAAGGTGAATGTTTCAAAGATGAAGTGAACAATGAACATCAGTGTAAAATACAAATAGGAATTCTTGGCATAATGTTGTAGAATTAAAAAGAAATTTCTCTTTTTCTTTCTTAGGCATCCAACAAAATAAAAGAGGTTTGTGAGAAACACCCAAAAACTGTCATCGGTGTATACTATGGATCACTTCTCGAAACTTGAACGTAGTGTAATAAGTTGCATGAAATTACAAAGATCTTTAAAAAATCAAAACAATTATCCCTTGTTTTTCTATGTTACTATTAAAACCGAATTAGTTGATGCCTTGATTATAACTTTAACTGTGATGATACTGAAACTAGGAGAGAGGTTTTCCCTGAACATTGTGATGATACTGAAACTAGAAGAGAGGTTTTCCCTGAACATTAAGTTTGGTTTTTGCTGATTTTTTACCTAGACCCAGGAATTTCCCTTTTGGTTCAAGTACAAATTATAGTGCACCTGCATATGAAATCTAAATTTCATTCTAAATGTGTTATTCTCTCCCTCCCTTTCTGTTATCTTTTTATTTGATTTTAGGTATTGCTTTGAAGAGTCAGTTAGCAAATACAATGAAGCATATTGCATTGGAATGTCATGTTGCCTTTCTTCTTGTAAATCTTGCATCTAGACATTTTGATGAAATAGAGAATTTACCTGACCCTGACCTAACTGTTTCATCTGTACAAACAGAAATAGTGAAACCTGCTCTAGGCAAGCAGTGGCTTCATATTCCAAGTACTAGGTTACTCTTGAAGAAGGTGGAATCTCAGGTACATGTAAGCATAATAAAAAGCATAAATATTCCATTATGTTCTTCATGCATTCTGAACATTAAAGATGAAGGGTTAGTTTAACATGAGTGCAGTTCAGGAAATCCATACGAATTATAGATGTATGTAAACAATTGAAATAAAGATTACTTTTATTATTTCTTTTTATTTATATTCTTGTTTCATTACAAAGTGAAGATATTGCCACAAGTTAGTGAAGATCAGGTAGTGATTTACAAAGGTCAAGAATTCACATAATTGTGTATACCTACATATCTGAGTATGAACAATTTGCAGTTCTGTATTAGTGAATATCTTACATGTTCAACTGGAAGTATTGTAATTTTCTTAGCAATGCAAATATATTTCATTGGGAATGTATGAGAAGTAATTTTTTTCAACAGCAATTGCCCTTTTTGAAAAAATGATGTGCAAATATATTAACAAAACAGCTTTTCTTGTTATTCACTGAAGTTTTGGACTGAAAATGTATGCTATATGTTATTGTTAATGATTATTGGTTATAAATAATTTACAGTGGATTGTTTGTTAAATATATGATAATGAAGTTAAAATAATTGATGTATGAAACTAGAAAAAGTCATTTTAATAAAATGTTATTCCTAGTTTAAAAGGTTTTTCAAGATATTACATTAGTTTAAAAAATCCTCCCTAATTTAACGTGTACTAAACTGACCATTAAAGAACAAAATGATTGGTTTCTATCATAAATCAATTCAAGATAACTTCCAATAGGATATAATTTTAACAAGTAATCAAAAGCTGATTTGCACACTGTTACAAAAAAATTGTGCAATTTTTGCAGTGATAAGTCGAAGCAATTGAATTTGCTTGTCAAATTCAAGATTTTACGTAAGAAAATTGAGGTTACGGTGAAACCATTGCGAGTGCCCGTGGAATTTACTGGAAATTGGTCTTCGCAATTTATAGAGTCCTCTCTATTACGCTACTACTTTAAAATATATTAAGGGAACCAACTTACGAAATGATTAAGGTATATCATATATACATATCAGTGTGGCAAACAGGATTTTGGATTTGTCCCAGTCAACTAGAACCTTCATTGTGACGTTTGAACAATTAATTACAATATTATAATATTATTTACATTATTTATGTGTATATATATATAAATTACAAGAAGGATGATTCTGTGGAAAATTGACGAGATTTCAAAGGAAGAGCCCGTTTTGGGGTCCCCGAACGGAAGTACACGTTTGGGGATTACCGAAAAAGTTAGTTTTTACTTTCTTGGATTCGGAGTAATAGACGTAGGAAGCTGCATAGTTGTAATAATACTGCAGAAAATCGATTTGGAAATTTCAAGTAGCGCTACAAGTTTTTGGGTCCTCTGAAACTTGGTGTTGCTTTATTACTCGCCCCCTCCCTCCAAGATGACCGTCTATGACCAGTACTAACGCCTAACTATCCGTAATTTTTTCTCCAAAATAAATAAAAAACATCAAAATTGAAAGTTTCGTCAATAACAATAACTAAAAAACTTGAACTTTGTGTTTGAAATTGTCGAATATAAAAGAGGGGAATTTTGTGTCCTTACAATTGGTAAAGTATAGTCATCTAATTGTATTTATTAGTTTGCAACTTAGATCTATTACTTTAAAAACATTGAAATTCTTTCTCAATTAATCAATCACATTTAAATACTAATTAGAATCACATACCTTTTATTTTTCAATTAAATACTTAACTTAAATAATTTAATACACTTAAAAAGACATTGGTTTAGGAGATACTTTCTACATTAGTCTGAATTATCTATTTATTTACGCATTTACCACGTACTTTGATAAGCATTCGTGATGTTGCTATTCGCTATACACTTTCTACTATGTACATACTCAAAGTCGACCTGAAAGCCTTCACATATATAAATAACAATTTAGATGAACATATCCGAAGGCTTCAAGAGGTCGTTCAAACAGACGGTTGGACAACAAGAGGCAACACCGCAGAAACTTCCAACAGTCCATCCGCGAAAGGGAAAACACAACCACGACTGAATGAAGATTTTCTGTTTTAGATTCTTACAATCCATTTCCGTTGCCTTCCCAATCTTCACTACCCCCTCTCATCATCGACACGTCCACCCACAAACCAACGGAAACAAGCTAGCAAGCGCAAAGAAACAAAGACCTGCGCAACCTGACCCACAAGTAAACGGACATTCCCATTGAGCCCATAAAAAAGGCATCTGATTTTAGCAGATGTGGGCGATAAATCTCTTCCCAGCTCGGTGGGAAACTCCCATCTAATTTCTGTCCTGTGTTTAAACCTAACGGGAGCGTTTGCCAACGTGACCAGTGAGTTGGACACCCACACAAAAACTCTCACCAACCGGGATACAGTCATCATCATGGGAGGACAGAATGGCATCAATTAAATCGTTTATTTCAGAAACCCGTCAAACGCCAAATTCCTCTTTTCAAGAAAACTAAGAAAAAAGTGTCCTAGCGTTGTAGGTTTTTTTTCCCGATTTCAAAATATTTTTTAGTATTAAAGCAGTTTATAAATGAATAGCTTTTTTGTAAATATTTTTTTACTGGTCTCATTGTATTTTTTAAAAATAAACTCGTGCACCTGACGGGTTTCTGCAATAAATTACCTGTATTTATTTATTTATTTACGTCAAAAACAGTTACAAACTGTGTGTGACGTGCTATGGGGGGAAGTCAATTTGAAGTAACATTTATGTCCGGAAGCAAAACAAGGGGCCATCTCAACCTTTTGCTCGAGGATCAGGGAACCTGGCCGAAAACCTGATGGAGATGGGGGTCATTGACCCAGAAGCTGAAGTACAATACTTGTTACAGGTTCTTTACAA